TTTGCTGCTCCAGATCATCATTCCTCTGTCCCCGTCCCTCCAAGAGCAAGTACCACACAACTGAGGCTAGCCCCTGTGCCCCAGAGTTTGAACCTGAAATGATTCAGACTCAGGGGCGGGGAGAGCTCAGTGGCAGAGCGCGTGCTTAGCATGCACGAGGTCCTGGGTTCAATCCCCAGTCCCTCCACTAATAAATAAATAAGTAACCTAATTACCTCCCTTGCCAAAAAAAAAAAAAAAAGAAATGATTCAAAATCACCAGTACTGAGACTCCTTATTCTGCCGTGTCCATCCCTTCCCACGGAGGCCACAGTAAAGGCTCTGGCCCCCATTTTCCCTCCTCCCCCTGCCTCCTGGCCAACCCTGGTGCTTCCCCCTGTGGCCTTGCATGACATCCTATGGCCCCTCCTCTTGGGATCTTGAATAAAAAACTACCTTTTTGATGGTAGTCATCCTCTGATCTTTTGGCCGCACCAGACCTGAATCATAATAAAATCTACATTTTGAAGCAGGGTGTTTGGCGACCTCCCCAGTGAAGGCCCTCACCCGTTGCCAGCATCAACCACCAGACATGTGAGTGGCTCCCACCTCCAGTTGAGGCCAAGACTCTGAATTTCCGAGCAACAGAAGCCAGGAGAGACACAGACGATTCTTGTCGTTTGTAGGCCCTGTATTTTAGGATAACTTGTTATATGGCAATAGACAGCTAATATAGGGTTTTTACTTCTAAGTTTTCCACCATGAACAGTGATGGCTTTTAGAAAAAGAACTGATGAATGTTATTTTTTTTTTAAAGACAACTGAGCAAGTGTGAGGCATCTCGAATTTTTTTATTTATTTAAGTTCTTTCTACTCTGCTGGAAACAATAACATTCACCAGCAGGATTATTCTTCTTAATACAAATGTTTATCCAATACCGTGTTAATACAAAACGGCAATTTCACAAACACAGAAAGAGTCCAATGCCAGCAGGACGGTTTTTAAAAAGTCATGCGATTCTCAAACATGGTAGACACGGTAGGTCTATAAAAGTGAGTACAAAAGACAATCAGAGCTCCGGTCCCCCCACCCCGAGAAAGGCCTTAGCGAGCAGCGGGATTGGGACCTGCACAGGAGCGGGAGGAGCCCTGGGAAGGCTGGCCGCGCAGACAGGACCACGGGCCATTCGTTCCGCGGAGTCAGAGCCTGCAATCTGAAACTGCTCTCGGAGGCAAAGCAGCTCTTCCAGAACTACATCTGCTCCTTCCAGAATGGAGTCACTGTCTCCCTCCTGCCCTCCCAACCCTGCCTGGACTAGCGCTGACGCACGTATCCAGGCAGGCTGCCTGCCCCGGGTCTCTACGACCACCCGGCGCCAAGGTCCCCAGAACGTGGGGCCACCACCAGCACAAGAGACCCCCAAGTCTGGCCTGCATTCCTGTCAGTGGGGTCAGAGTTCTGAGTAACCAGAGGCTCAGAAGCAACTGATTTCTTTCCCCTTTAACTGTCCCCACATAGCCCTGGGACACCCAGGCTCCCGAGGTATGGCACCATGCTGACACCCACCAGTCACCGCAAGCAGGCACCGGGCACCCGGTATCCAGTGCCCATGGCTTCCCAGGAGGGCCCCACCAGGAGCAGTTCCTGGAACTGAGGCTCCAGACCTACCTGTGGGTCATACAATCATTTTGGGGGTTGCCACCAGCAACTTGAAAAAATGACACAGGATAAGAGAGGATGGACCAGGCTGGGGAGGAAATATCACAGTGCATCACACAAGTAGGTCCTGTTTTGGTGATGGATCCATAAACTGGAATCACAGTGTGAAATGTGTTTCTTACGATGAGTATTAAGGAAGCTTGGGAAATACTAACAACCGGGAGTGAACGGAGGGAGGCAGCTAACCCACGACACCTGCAGGCAGGTCCCACACATCGGAACAAGCCGACCCCGCGATGCACAGGTCACCCTCCCGCTGCGGGCTGCCCCTACCACCACAATGAGGGCAGACTCTGTTTGAAGGCCCGTCACGCGGCCAGGCCTGTGAGAAGGCTGAGGGTGTGTGGGCAGAGGTTCCGTGAGGACCTCTGACGGATTCGTCGGTCACGCCTGGGCCCCGCCCAGCAGATCCCAAACCCTCACCCCAACGCGTCAGGTGGACGAAAGCGGTCGTTTCTCTATATACAGACCGCAGTCCTTAAAAAACATATTTATTGCCTTTACCTCGTGCCTGCTGGCTGGGAAAGCTGCGCGGATATGGGTACCACAGGGGACAGCCTGGGCCACCTCGCTGCTCAGTCGGCCCCAGCGACCTAGGGCGTCCCGCGAGCCCAGGGCTCAATGGCTCGGTGTCCTTGCACATTTGGAAGAGTCCCAGCCCGCCAGCTCCCTGGGGTGGCCATCCGCGGTGTCATCCTCCGCCCTCTCAAAGCTCAGGCAAGACGGACGGAGCTCAGAAATTCAACAGCCCCGTCGGAGGAACGAGGCCCCAGAAGGCTGTTACGGAGCTGCCCTCACCTGCCGCCCTCCGGGCCAGACGGCCCAGCACCGCGGGGGGGAGGATGCCCCGCCCCGCTGGACCCCACGGGCAAGTCACCTAGCTTCTCTGAGCAGCCTCGGTCTCCCTGTGTAATAGGGTTGCCAGGTTGTGGGCGGAGAGATCTACGAGGACGCGGGTGTGAATGAGCAGGTGTTCCTAACTGTATGTATACGCGCTGTGATGCCGACGAAGAGGGCGTGGAACGCAGCCAATCGGACCCAGGGGGCAGGCAGTGGCGTGCTGGTCAACCAGCTTCCAAGAACCGTGAGCTCCGACCTGCAGCCTTTGCCGATTTCCATGGTGCCGACAGCCCCCCCACGGCCAGTCTCCCGCTAGCAATGTTTAAGGACTTCCCGAGTGCCTGAGTACTTAACACTGGGTCTCCAGGGCGCCGTGAGCATGTAGAGCGCTCGGGTACCCTCCAGGACGCCTCGTCTCCCGCCAGCAGTTGACAGCAGCCGACGGGGTGGGGTCAGTGTCCCTGAGAGCATCCCCTCCACAGCCCGCACGCACCTCCCTCTTCTGCCCCAACCAGACCACCTGTAGGACGGACACACAGCTCCTGTCCCTCCCCCAGAGCACACACCTGACTGTTCCAAATTTTCCAGATAATCCAGCTCTCTGGCAGTGCCCAGGCAGCAGGTCCCTGGATGTCCAGGTTCCCTCAGGGACGGGGACGGTGGCCAAGTGCAGGGAGTGATCAGCCCAACGATAGTAGGAAGATGGTGGCCGTAGCCTCTTAAGGTTAAGAAAACATGCTAAACGTGAGGGAAAACTTGATGTCAAAGATCCTCGCCACAGATAGATCTACCTTCATCTCCTGAATTAGGAGTGATTGAACAGTGGGGGCGGGTGTAGCCCAGCATGCCTGAGGCCCTGAGTTCAATCCCCGGTACCTCCTTTTAAAAAATACAAGTTTTTTCTTCACAAAGAGAATGATTAAACAAATTGCGGAACATCCACTCAGTGAAGACTTTTTAAATAATACTTACAAAGGACTTGAAGTAAGGAAAATTGCTCAGAAAGTTTAAACAAAAAAAGCAGGATGTAAAAGTACCTTTGGCAAGAAGAGCAAACGCCGCAGTTTAGAAGCGTGCATGGAGCATGGAGAGCAGCAAGGAAAAGGTTAGGGGTGGAGAACCGGAGGCAGATATTCCACCAAATCTCTTCTACCTTCCCAGTATTTTCTAAAGTTTTTACAGTGAGCACATGTGGTTGTAGTGAGAACATCTTTAAGAGAACAGCCCCCTCCCCAGCACGTGGATACACACTCCCTCAGCCTACAGATCGTCTCCAAGCCCCGCCTCAGGGGCTACCCTGACGCCGGGCAGGCCTTGCCCATGTCCCCCGGGGTTCTGGCTCTGTCATCCTGGGATTCCAGGGCTGCAGACCCACTCAGGGCAGAGGCTAAACTCGTTACAAACTTGAGCTGGAAAAACTAGCCCGGAAGCCTCCGGGAGTGCTCCGAGGTGACTTCCGCAGTGCAGAACCGCCAAGAGCGGAGGCCAGGGCGGTGTCCCTGCAGCCCCGGTTTGTGGACTTGCCTCCTCTGACCTCGGATGCAAAAGGACCAAGACTCACCTGAGGCTCCCTCGCCGAGCTTTCCCAGCCTCAGAGAGGAGGAGCGGGTGCGGACCAAGCCAGGCCAAGCTCACCATCCTCTGCTCCGTCCACACATTTGTCTGAGCACCTACTAAGCTCTGGGTGCTCTGCAGGGCACCGGGCATTGCCAGCAATCTACAGCCACAGTGCCTGCCCTCACCATCCCAGACCCCCCCCTCCTGGCTCTCGTACTGCCTCCTGTCCTGCCCGGGTCTCCAGGTTCGGCTAAGATGGGCTAAAATCGGATGGCACTGGTCTGTGATAACTACCACCGATGGAGCATCACCTGCTCCAAACAGGGAAACTCTGGATCCACCTGTGGTTCTCAACAATGTTTAGTCTGAACCCCCGGGGGATCCCCGAGACCGTTCCAGGAGTTGCTCGAAGTCACTGTTTTCATAATGATACCAAGACATTATTATTTGAGTTTTTCCTGCCCACGCTTTCATGAAAAGTTCTCCAGAGGTTACATGACGGGTCACGTCAGAAACTGACTGCAAGAGCAGACGGAGAATCCAGCGGCTTCTGTGAAGCCAGACATTCAAGAGATTTGCAAATACGGAACGATGCCACTCTTCTCCCTAAATCTTCTGTTTGGAAAAAATACCATTCTTTTTAATAGAAAAATATGTTACTTATGTTAGTGTGTAATGAGCTTATTTCAGTGAATGAAGAGGCATTGTAGAATAGTGTCAGTTTTCATTTCTGTTCTGTATGATGAATGCTCAAACATGGAGCCCAGACACAAAGGTTCTTTGGTGTCCTCAGTAATTCTTAAGAGCTCCAAGGGGCTCCAAGACCACCAAGTCTTACAGCCACAGATCTACCAGCATCCTCCAATAGAACTTTCTGAGGTGGTGGACATGGCCTATGGCTGTGCAGTGCAGAGAAGTAGCCACTGGCCCTGTGTGGCTATTGAGCCCTTAAGATGTGGGCAGTGTGACCGAGGCACTGAACCTTTCATTTTAATTGCCTTAGATTTAAATAGCCACCTGCACTGAAGAGCCACCGTACTGGATGGCACTCCTGTAGATGATGTTTCCTGATTCTCTGTCCATTCGGGATTCTTTATTTTTATTTGCCCTGCAAGGGTCTCGGTGTTGCTGCTGGGGGGAGCCGGGTCCCAGGGATGGAGGCAGCCCCACTACACCCAGCCCCTGGTCCGCACAGCTGCACGTTCTCCCAAACGCTCATCCTTCGAAAGCCCGAGTGGGAACCTCTGCAGGTGTGTACGGTCCTGTCCGACACTGGCCTGAACACAGGGCTACTGAACGATGCCTCATGTCCTTGGTATCGCCTTTCAGAGCACGTGAACGGGCTGCAGCTGAAATGCGGATCCAAGCGTCATGTCAACTGCTTGTTTCCACGGGCCGTGAACCCAGAGATGGAGACGCCAGTGTTTTAGGAAGCAGATAGTTGAGAGGGTACGGTGAGGACATGAATGCTACTTACTAGCTGTGTGCCCTTGGACAAGTTACTTAGCCTCTCTGAGCCTTAATAGCCAAATCAGTAAAATGGGATCATATCTACCTCTTAGAGTGATTGTAAAGACGATGGACCACCCCCAGGACTTGGGACCTAGCTCAGGAAACATTAGTGAGCGAGCCCAGTTTAAGGAATGGACTTAAGTATAAATGCAGGCTGCTGGGGGGTTGATGGTGTGGATGAAGGAAACCATGTGAAAAAGACAGTGAAAACCAAGAGCAGTGGTTAGGTCCTCAGCCCCTGGACATGCGTGCTGTCCCCCAGGGAAGGGCGCAGGAACCGCACCACTGACAAGCAGGGCAGGTGAGCACCAGCGCGGGGCTGCCAGAGCCAGCGGCCAGACCACCCGGAGCTTGCTGCAAGTTCGGGGTCCAGCGTCCCCTCGACAACAAGCCACGGGCTCAGCATTCAGGGCGGGGACCGGGCAGCCGGGGTCTGTGGTCTAGCACCCCTACCCCTGCTGGGTAGGTCTCTGGGCAAATCCTGGGGCTGAGAACAGCTGCTCTGACTTCCTCCAGCAAAGATGTGGCCTTGGCCCTGCAGTTAACCGGACAGGGGGGTTCCGCACACGGATCGTAGTCTCCATTTTACAGATGAGAAAACGAGGCACGGAGCGGGTGAGACACTACCCCGAGGGCCTTGCATGCTGGCCAGCGTAGGGCTGGACTGGCTCCAGACCTCAGACCCCCAAGACAAAGTTTCCAAGCATCGGGAAAAGGGGGCAGAGGTGTGCTGGGCCTGGCTTGCGAGGACTAACAGTACACATCTCTTCCCAGAGCATCTTCAGGGATGTCCCTCTAGTAGCAGGAAACTGGCCGTAGTAGGGGTATTTACACCATGGAAACTGGCGGATGCCACATGCCAGGGCTTAGGGGTTTTTTTGTTTGTTTGTTTTAATTATTATTAAAATGTGTGAGCCTGGCTCTCCTCCCTGGAGGAGAGACCTGGGGGCAGTGGGTTTCCTTGGAAGCAGGAGATTTCATCTGGCCAAGGGACACAACGGTTGCTCTGCCGGTTAGAAGCTGGGTGCCCTGGGTAAGTTGCCAAACCTCTCTGTGCTTTGTTTCCTGCTTTGTAAGATCAGCTAACAATCCTCACCCAACGGGGTTGTGGGGGGGCGGGGACAGGGCTATGCCCCCCTTGGAGAGAGTATCTCTAAAGCCCTGGGCACTGAGACTGGCCCCCAGGAGGGGCGCCCTGCGCATAAGCCTTTGCCTCCCCCAGCCTCCTGCTCCTTCCCCTCACACCTGCCGCCCTCCGCACCTGTGAGTCCAGCTGCGCCCTGCGCTCATGTGGAAGTGGCTGCTGGGGTTTCCACAGGCTCCTTCAGGCCCCCCCGGGCCCCCCGCTGCTATTCCCAGAGTCTGTACTTCAGCATCTGATTACACAGGATGTGGTGGCAGGTTTGACAAGTGCCTTTTTGATGAGGTCACTAGACCCACCTCCCAGCCCTCTGAGCTCCCCCTGCCCCTCTGAGCACCTGTGAAGCGTCCCTCGCCCCCCACTTCCCAACGGAGGCCTGGGTCCAACTGTAGGAGCTTGGGCAGGGCTGTAGAGTGCTTCAGCTTTTGCAGACAGATACAGATACAGAAAAAAGAGCTGGGTGAGCTGAAAACTCCCCAAAATCCCAGGGCTGCAACTTCCTAAATCATCCCACTGTGCGGGGCACCCACCCACGACCAAGGCGGCTTCAGAGCTTCAGATCCAGGCGCACCTGCAGGTCTCATCTCTGCTTCCTCCCATCCCCCCAGGGCTTTCCTAGGATTCTTTCCCAGCCTGAGCCAAAGGCTGCTGAAGAGAAGGATGCTCAGCCCTGCTCCCACCATACGTGCAATTTCCACCCAAGAAAGAAAGGCAGCTCTGGTCTATGGTATTGATTTAAATCCACTCCTGGGCTGAGAGGCTGCAGGCCGCAGGGCCAGCCCTGGGCCAGCTCTGCTCTGGGCCTCCAGGGAAACCCTGCTGGCAGGCAGACAGGCGTCCACCAGCGAGCGCACCAGCTCTGCCTCGTCCTGCCCATCACCAGCAGAATCGCTGAGCAGGTCACCTGCCTTCCTCTCCGTCTTGCACACCAGCCCCCGGCCCTAAAGCGCCTGCAAGGTCAAACAGGCCAGTCTGCTGCCAACTGCCCCCCTGGCTCCTTGGGGCATAGCAGCCGCCTGGCTGGGTCATCTCAGCACCTGATGGCCTCAAGGATGGACAGGAAGTGGGAACTGGCACCTGAATTTCCAGTGGCGTGCCCTCCCCGCCCAACACAGCTCAGAATATTCCTGGGACAGGGTCTTACCTACAGAAGGGACTGGCCTAAGGAACATCTTTTCCTTTCCTGAACTGTTTGGGGTATATTTGGAGGCAGTCCAGGATCTAGGCTCGGTTAAAATGGAATCCTGGGAAATTCACTTTCAGAATGATGCTGGGGAAGAGAGACAGCTCATGGCAAGCAGGTCCTGAATTGGAGTGAGGGGAGGGAGTGTGGTCAAGGCTTCAGAGCACGCCCTCCAGTGTCCTCAGCAGCCTGTCCACAGTCAGAAATTCCACCATTGGTGATTCATTCCTTTGGATAGTGCAGGCTTTGTGATACCCCTCATTACCATTGTGGGGGTTGTTTTCCAACTAAGGGAGCTAATTAGGATGCCAGGCCAGGTGTTTTACTGTCATCATCCCGCTGAATCTTTAAGCAACCCTGCCAGGTATAGCCTTACTATACCCTTCTTACAGTAGAGGACATTGAGGCACAGAGAGGTGAAGTAACTGGCCCAAGCCCTCACAAAGGGGGGAATGCGGATTTGGTCCCAAGTCTAGCAAGACACAGTTCCTCCCTCCAGGAGCATCTGGGTTGGGGGACAGAAACAAGTACCAGGGTGATGCAGGACAGGGCTATGAGCTGTGCTACAGATGAGCACAAGGGGTGCTGGGAAGCAGAGAGGGAGCCACGAACTCAGAGGAAGGTTGGAAGTTCCTCAGAACTAACGCCCAAGCGGGGCTTTGAAGAATGCTTAGGAGTGAGCTGGGAAGAGAAGGGGTGAGCAGAGTCCCCATCAAGGAACTAGCACCTCAGAGGGTGTGGGGGATACAGGGGCAGGCTGTCCAGTGTACCCGGGAGGAGGGGGAGGAGGAGATGTGGGTACCAGAGGAGTTCAGCAGGGGCTACAGGACCAGGTCAGCCTCCCGGGCGCCCAGCTGTAGCCCCGTCACGGGGCTTTGGTTCCCATCAACCCCCGGATGATGGGGCTGTCATCTCCGTCTGCCATGGTGCCATGCTGTGGGAGTTTCCCAAAACAGCATCCCGGAGCCCACACGCCCCCTGCCCTGCCTCAGGCCCAGGCAGAGTTCAGGTCATAGTGTCCCTCCCCTGCCAAGCTCCCCGTCCCCCCTAATCTCCAACCCTGACCCCAACTGACGGGAAATACTTGGCGGACTCTGCAGGGCAGGTGTGCAGAACAGAGGCAGCTTCCAGGGCCGGGGAGTGCCTGTACACACACACACACACACACACACACACGGGTAAGGGGACAAAACATCCCCCAGGCACCTCCCAGCTCAGAGCCCGCCTGTCTGAGGAACAGGTCAGATGACTCCATGCCGGCCTGGACGTGGGACTCCTGACACCAGGGCCCTGAACTACCCTGGAATGTGCTGGAACTAAGCACAAGGCATCTCGTCCCGCCCATGTGACTCTGGATGGGAGTCGGAGAGGGAAGCCCGTCTAAAACGAAACAGACCCTTGATCCAGAGGGACCCGGGGCTGGGCCTAGACCCCCAGCAAAGGTCCGCGCGCCCTGCGCGGCGTGCTCGCCCGGCCCTGGGGGAGTGCTGAGGGCGGGCCCCTGGAAGCCCTGCTGCTGGGCTCCTGGAGGCCTCAGAGGCTGGGTATCCCTCTGACGCTCTGCCCAGGTCCCTATCAGACTAGCCAAGGCCTTCCCTCTAGGGTTCATCAGATCCAAGCCTCCAAGGGCCGCTGATTGGTGCCCGGCAAGAAGCTCAATGCTGGCATCACAGACCCTAAATCTGGAGCAGCCACGCAAGTGCCTGGGATCTGCTTACCCACCTCCCCACCCTATCCCCGCCCACGAATGGCTCTCATAGCTTCTCTGGATTTTTTTGGCAAGAGAAGAAATGGCCAAGGAACAGCTTCCCACCCCCAAGCACTCACCCCTCTGCAGTGAGAACCAGCTGTGGTGGAACAGAACGTCAGGGGCTGCTCTGGGCGCACCTCCGTCTCCTGCGTCTGCCCCAGACTGCCCACTCCGGGAAAGAAGCATGCTCCCCAGCACGGAGACATTGAACTGGTCTGGCCAGGACCCCACTGCACAGCACACGGGCAGGCAAGGCAAAGAGGTGCCATCATGAGTGCCGAGTCGGTTGGTAGTGGCTGCCCAGAGCCCTCTTGAGAAGAAGTCAGGTAGCACACCATGCTGCAGCTGCTTGGTGACGTCTGCCACGGTCACGGCTATCCGCCATCCCTGAGCTACAAGCTGGGTGACCTTCCCTGAGCAGGGGACAACTCCCCAGCCAGGACTCTGGTGGCAGAGAAGGAGGCCCTGGCCACCCATGTACCAATAACCCACCAGACACCCTGACAGATTTCTCAGGACCTTAAGAAGCACGTATTGGCCCATCAGTCCTCAATTTGCCAGCCCCCTTTTCTGACGATGTTAATGTTGGTTGTATTAGGAAACACTTGTCTAGAATAGAAACAGATTACAGGGTTAACGTCTCCTCCGTAAAAATGACTAAATGCTTTCTTTCTCTCCTAGGACTCAAGAGATGGTCTGGCTGTCACCAGAAGTAACCTTGGGCCCATCAGAAGGTCTACCCGTGGGAGGGCAGATGGGCCTGGGCTCTGTGCTCTGGGCTCCAGTTCACAGAAACGCTCCCCATGATGCTCTGCTCCAAAAGCCTAAATGTCCTGTGCAGTCTGGGCCACCTCATTTGGACACCTTGGCCTGCAGGGTGCTGGGCAGATACAGGTACCTCCAGATGGCATAGTAGTGGGTACCAGCACCAAATGCCACAAAGAGATGCCAGATGGCGTGGGCAAAGGGGATCCTCCCGTCACTCTTGAAGAACACCATGCCCAAGCAGTAGAAGACCCCTCCGGTCAGCAGCTCCCAGATGCCCTCGGTGTTGGGCTGTCAGCAAGGACAAGAGCGAGCACAGGTCAGAGAGCAGCCAGGAAGACCAGGACCGCCCGGCCATCCCCCCCGGCCCCACCCGAGACGGAGACACGCGGATGGCGGGGAGTCACTACACGGTGATGTGGTCATTTCTCCCCAAATTCATCCTCACATGTAACATATTTCTACCAAAATCTCAAAGAACATTTTGTAGCTTTTTAGCTTTTCTAAAAAGTAACACAGCTGGGTATATCCCCAAAGAAGCAAAAGCAGAGACTCAAATAGATACTTAGACATCATTATTCACCGTAGCCAGAAGGTGGAAGCAACCCGAGTGTTCATCAACGGAAGAATGGATAAGCATAATGTTATTCATGTTATTTTATACAATGCAATATTACTCAGCCTTAAAAAGAAAGGAAACTCTGACACTGGCTACAGCGTGCATGGACCTCAAGGACCTTACGCAGAGTGAAATAAGCCAGACACAAGAGGACGGATACTGCAGGTTTCCACTTAGGTGAGGTCCCTGGAGGAGTCAAATTCATGGTCAGAGGTAGAAGGGTGGTTCCCAGGGGCTTGGGTTAGGGTGGGGAGTCAGCATCTAATGGGTGCAGAGTTTCAGTTTGGGAAGATGAGACAGTTCTGCGGATGGAGGGTGGTGAGGACTGCACACCCGTGAATGTACTTCATGCTCATGAATTGTACACTTAAAACAGGTTCAAATCATAAATTGTGTGTCTATTTTATCAAATTTTTAAAAGGCAAACATATCCATGGTGGAAAATTTTACAGAAAAGCAAAAAGTAGTTAAGAAGAAAGTGGTGCTGGTAGCCCTCCGAGGTGAGCATGTGAACACCTGGGTAAGCGGCTGGTTGCAGGGGCTCAGGCAGATGGGGAGGGACTGAGGAGTGAGAAGACCCGCCTCCCCACCTCCCCCAGGCCCACGTCCTGCAGGCGTCACCGCTCACCACCAGTGGCGGTGTTTCAGAGTGTCCTTCCAGAACTGTCTACATACCCACGATATATATACATACTTCACATGCATGTACAAATACAGAGAACTCATCGCTTTAGAGAAGGGGGCTCACACCATCCCTGCCATTCGGCGATGTCACTTTCCACAGTGTTCTCTCGTGGAGGTCAGTCTACACCCCACGTGGAGATCCAGCGTGGTCTTTCTTTTTTTAACCATTTTGTTTATTTATTTATTTGGGGGAGAGGTGTTGATTTTTTAAATTATTATTGTTATTTTTCTCTTTATCAGAGGTACTGGGGATTGAACCCAGGACCGCGTGCGTGCTAAGCACGTGCTCTACCACTGAGCTACACCCTCCCCACCCCCACCTGGGACTTCTGAACACCTGAGTTCATTGCACATATGTACAGGTATGTACCCAGTTCCCGAGAGGACGATGCATGAACATTAAGGACATACTGCGGTGACACCCCTCCACACTTAGGATGCGCCAGGCCCCGTACTAAGGGCCTTACATGAATTACCTAATGCCTCCTCCACAACAACCCCGTGGGGCGGGTATGACTCCATGTGACAGGCATGGAAACGCCCATGACATTGCGCCACGTGAGAAAAGCACATTGCAAGACAGCACACACAGTGTGACCTCATTTTTGTAAAGGAAAAGAGACAAGTCAATATGTCTGCATAGCCACATTGACTTGCATAGAAATAAAACATGGAAAAGATCCACAAGGACCCGTGAATGGTGGGCGCAGCCAGGGCATCCCACTGGGGAGGAGGTGAGGGGGGTTTCAGTTCTTTTATACATTTTCAGACAGGACTTATATTTCACAGTGAGTATATATTTAAATATACACTTCCATGTATATAAGTATATGTATATATGTGTTTAAATTATGTAATATGTAATTGATGGCTATTACATAATTTAACAGATGTAACTTAATTATACAGATATAAACAAAAATAAACTTGGGGGAAAAGGCATTTGTAAAAATGAACACAAATCACAGGGGAAATACTGAGTAGGAAGCCTAACGGGGCAAGACTTCACCACCAAGTGTTATAATGCAGTTAAAAGCATGAGGGAGAATGACAGTCAGTGAATTAAACAAGCAAACGGTAAAACTGTATTGACTTTAAAAATACAATTAAAGCTGCAGCAAGTGAAACGGTTTGCTACTAGCATGAAAGTAGGCCGATCTATGAAACAGACCCCCATGTATGCATGTGAAGATAACACATGATAAAGTGAGTATTTTTAAATGGCACATAAATAATTGGCTAGTCGTTTGAGGAGGGATCGTCATTTCCATAAGAAATTGCAATGGGAATACAGAGTTAAAAATTAAAAGTTAAACCTTGAAAAGAAACAGGAGAAAATATAGGTAAACACTTATATAAACTTAGAAAAGGGAAGATCTTTCTAACCATCATAGTTAAGACAAAGCCATAAAATTAAGGGGAAAAAAATACCTGCTAGATGTGACTACATAAATTTTTAACGTCTGCCAACAAGAATCATTTAGAAGTAAGACATATAATGGAAAAGAATCTGAAAAGAAAAAATATATATGTATGTATACGCATAACTGAAGCACTTTGCTGTAGACCTGAAGTTAACATTGTAAATCAACTAAACTTCAATAGAAAATAAAATTAAAAAAATAAAAGTAAGAAACTGTTATCTGGCCTAGGGAGGCACTGGGCAGGCTGAGTTGGCTGTGCCCATGTGACAGATGGGCAGCTGAGGCTCAGAGAGGAGAGGGGACCCATGCGCACACACACGAGCTGCCTCTCCTTCCTGGTGGGGGCCCTCACTCCCCCTCTCTGCAAGGCTCCCCCACTCACAGGGCGAGGCGGTGCCGCTCAAAGATCCTGGCCCTTGGGGTCACAGGTTACAGGGCTAAACTTCCAGCTTAGCCCCTAGGGGTCACCTCCCCTCTCAGAGCCTGAGCAACCTCATTCATGAAACAGAAGTGGTCCGCCTCCAGGGACACCCGGGACGGGGAAAGCAAGGTCTTGTGAGTAAGCTTCTTGCCCGCCCTAAGGGCTCAACACGTGCGGTAAAGTCACCCTCCTGTGCCAGGAAGCCATTCAGGATGGGGAGGACCCGGAGAGGGTGTCAGAAACCTGAGACTGTGACTCCATCGCCACCTATGTCATTTAGACTTCACTCAGTTGCAGGCACTGTTCTAATCATTTTCCACGGGGTTTCTTATTTAATCTCTAAAGAGATGGGAAAACTGGAGCCCAGAGGGACTAATGAATTCACTGAAGGTCCAGCGGAGAGAGGAGGTGCTGGAGAAACCAGGGAGCCAAGTCCTGGGGTTCACCTGCACATTCTTCTGCCTCCGTGGGCGAGTCATGCTGGCCCACGGGCCTCAGTTCCCCGTGTGCCAGAGAAGAGGCTCAGCCTGACAATGTCTAGAGTCACCCTGCATCCCCTGCGGGCAGGCACGAGGCCCTGCACCAGGCATGTGGGACTTACCATGGAAAGGATGACCAGGGCAGGGAGGAAGCCCGTGACCGTGTAGCAGAGCAGCTCCACAAGCTTGTACCTGCCGGGAAGACAAGCCGTCTCGGCACAGGGCAGCCTCCCCGTGAGTCCAGAGTCCCGGCTGTGGGTGGGAGGGGACGCCCTGACCGGAGGAGTAAGAGAAAGGGGCTCTGCCCCCTGCCGAGCCCTCCTGGGCTCAGATTCCACCCTCTCCACCCAGCAGGTGCTGGCAGAGTTGCGTGGCCCCGGGCGGGTCTCCTTCCCCTTCTGAGACCCAGTTTCCACATCCACGCAATGACACTGGAGGATGGCAGACGCTGGGAACAGCATGCCTATGGGAACCCACCACGCCCAAGCCCAGGGCAGGCATGGCTAGTCGATCCCAGCACCTTTCCCACAGGATCCAAGCACACTCGCCGTTGATACCGGCTGCACCCACGGACACCTGTCTGCTGCCCCGGGAGATTCCAGGGGTCTGTTCCTCCCTCTCACTTCTCTAGCTGTGTTCCTCCCCCTACTTACTCACTCCCACCCTGCAGGATGGGAGTGACGGGAATGGGGAGCTCTCGGAGCCTCTCCCCCTCTTCTGCTAACACAGCTCAGGGAAGGCAAAGAACACAGCACAGTTCAGTGAGTCTAGGAACCTACAGTGTCTTTTTTTCTACTCTTCAGGTGGACCCTACGGGCTGGGGACCTGGTGGCTGTCCTCATGTTTCCGGGGTCATCCTGGGGTCTGATCTCACCAGGGCCAGGGAGGAGACCCTGCTGGAGGCACCCCGCCCTCCTGAGCCGCCTGCCCCCCACCCAGCCCTGGCTTACCGCTCGTGGAAGAAGAAGACATAGATGGTGCCGACAGACGCCATGATCCAGACCAGCCACCGCATGTGGGAGGCCCAGGGGCCCAGCTCACGGAGGTTCAGCCTGGGAGGGAGAGCCGAGGGCACGGCCTGAGGGGGGTGCTGGGACCTCGCCCTCCACAGCCAGCCTGCCACAGGAACACTGAGCCCAGAGAAGCCGTGTCCCCTGGGGCTCCACGTGTGGGACATGGGCTCACACGGGAAGACACGTGGAGAGACAGAAAAAGAAACCAAAACAGTAAGCAACGATTTGAGGAAAATTAGCAAAAACTGATGATGCCCAAGCATGAGGGAGAAGTGGGAATACAAGTGAGTAAAGGCCATTTGGAGAACCTACCAAACTTTGACGGGCACGTGCCCAGTGACCCAGGTACTGCAGGGCCAGGGGCCAGCCAGACACACGCTGTTTTGTGGGCTCACAGAGGCACAGGACAGGACCTGCCCCGCGGCATCCGTCCCAATAGAAGAGCCTGCAAACCACGCACTGTCCACCCAAAGGCGGGGAAATAAGGCTGGCGCCCCCCTGTGCGGGTTACCAGGGCCCCGCCCCTCCCTTCCACACTCCCCCTCCCTGCCGGCTGGGCGATAACGGAGCGGGGCCCCGTGAGCATCTTCCTCGGCAGCCGCACAGCATTAAGTGCGTCAGCAGAGAGTGGCGGACAGACCGCAGGAGGAGCGGCCCCTGCTGCCCGTTCTTGCGGGCCTCTCCCCAGGCTCCCAGAACCTGGGCTTTGCTGCCCGCTGCTTGGTCCAGCGGCGTCTCCAGGGCCAGGCGCCTGCAGGGCCCAGGCGTCTCCCGCATTTGGCCTCCACGTCTTTCCTCTCGCTGTTGGCGTGGGTAACAGCAGCGCAGCCGGGGACCCCGCACAGGGCAGGCTGGGGCCCCGGCCCCACAGCTGCTCCCACACCCACTCTTCAGGTCCACACACACGCAGCCACGGGGGTTCCCAGCCAGCAGCCGTCCGCACGACGAAACTGCACAGAAATGCTCTAGGTTCCTGCAGAGGGGGGCTGTTTGCAGCAGCTCCCCCGGCGCAGAGCAAGTGCTGAAGCCTGGTGCCTCTTCCCCTGCCCCCGGGACGGCCGATTTCCAGTATCTTCTCTGCCATCCAGTGCACCAGGGCCCTGCGCTTTCCGATGAGGTGCGATCTCAGCCCCGGGTGGAGGAGGGGGCTGGCAGTACTGGTCCCTTCTATCTGCCAATGCTGGATGCCTTGGAATTGTCTTTGACCCTCATTAGTCAATTCTCTGCAAATTCAACCCTTCATGTTAAAATTTCCATGTTCAAATCATTGTATGGTTTCTGTCCCCTGACTAATAACACACCGTCCTGTGGGACGTTGACAATAGTTTGGAAAACATGAAGATGTTCTGTTTGTACTTACAAGGACAGATCTCCAAGACGCAGTTCCGGGGCAGGGGACGGTGGGGGCAGGCCGGGGCTGAGTCAAGAGCGACATGACTGTATTATTTGTACATGTGAAGGTAAGTGTGAATGCACAGAAACAGATCTTAACCCATTCCCAAGTGCCAAGAGCAGTTTCATCTAGAAAGGAACAATTAATGGTCGGGGCAGGGGGGTGGTCCTTTCAGGTTTTTTTTTCCTGGAATGAATTTCTTGAATGAGAGTATCTTTTGTAAAACTTCTGGAAAAAACGTAACCTGCTCAGAGTCCAATTGTTATTATAAAGAAGTTAAGTAATGTTGGAAAGTTTAAAGGTAAAAAAATAGTAATAACTCATCTCATTACCAAAAGGAACCATCAGTGAGCATCATTCCAGATCTCCCCAAGCAGACAGAAAGACGCCGCCCATGAGAACAAGAGTGAGCTTAAAGTGGGATCGAGGAAACGGCAGAGGAAAGGATGGAAGAAGGCGAGAAGTGGTGAGAATCAAATTAACTTGCATCATTCTTCATTAAAAGTATTACATTTAATTTTAACTGGACTTGAACAGAAGAAAATGAAACCAAAAAACTTCCTGCTCAACTTCAAACAAGTATCTCCTCTTCCTGAAAGTCACTTTTGACCCTAAAGATAAATTATGAAAAACGCCAGGACGCTGGGGATTTTAGTTTACGTTTCCATTGTCACTGCTGTCGGTTCGCCCCCTGCCCTGGAAGACAGAAGCAGCAGCCTCCCCGCGTGCTCCACCAACAGCCCACCTTCCTCGGGGACACTGTTAGTTTTACATTCTCAAGGTTTGCACCGTTCACATGCTGTTCTATAACCATAACCCGCACGGCTGCTTAATGCTGGTCCGGTGTTTAAAGTGTTCAGCACCATTCTTGAGTTCCTTTCTCTTTTTCCATCTTCTCTTAATTAGCTAGATTTTGTTGTCAATATGGTTTTCTTTTTTTTCCCCAAGAACTTCTCATGGGCACTGTTTTCCCTGCCTTTCCATGCATGAGAGCGGTTGCTTGTTTTCACAGCCACACGACACCCTCACCGATAGCTTATTCTGAGGTGCACCTTCAGCGGACTGCAGGCCTCCACGTGCTCCAGCACTCACGCTGCTGTGGCCACGTGTGGAGGCCAGACGTTTCCCCCTCGGAAGAGATTTGCTTTTCCAGCCTCAATATCTGAAGCATCTGTCTGTCCTTCATTTCCACCAGCTTCTCTCTGATTGCTTTAAAGTTCGGCTTTTTTTTTAAAACAATGTGCATTCTCCTGATTCTCTTGTCTTTGTCAGTATTTGATTTGCAGTCTTTTTTTTTTCCCTCACTGCAAACCAGCACTTTATAATCTCTTACCATTCTTCTCATTGGAGCCTAATGAAAAACTGGTTTATACAATTGGATTCTCATAAGATTATTAATTATTAATTTTGTAGGGGGGGTAATTGGGTTTATTTATTTTATCTTTAATGGAGGTGCTGAGGATTGAACCCAGGACCTTGTGCATGCTTATTTTAGCACGTGCTCCGCCACTGAGCTGCACCCTCCCCCTCTGCAAACATTTACTTTTATCCAAAGGTTATGTTTTCAACATTACATCCGTAAAGGCATGAAGCAGTTCTGCTTCTTTACACAGTAACATATAAGCTACGAGCAATAACATCCGATTTGCAGTCGTTTTTACACAGTTCTTTGCTGATTCCTTCCATCATAATTAGCTTTGGTCTCCGACTTGTTGACTAAGGTGTGCTGTCTCCATTCCCATTTCTGCCCATTGCGCGGTCCTCTCATCTTTGCACTCTTGTTTAGTTACCTCCGTTTTCTGGTCGCGTGGGCTTGAAGTCCCTGCAGGTTAGCAGGGCCAGCAGTCAGAAGAAACCCTGGAACTTGCAGCGGGGGAGCAGGAGGACAAGCTGGACCTGCATCAGCCTCTCGGTACCAACCTCCACGATGCGGGCGACCTGCAGAAGCTGGGAGACTTGAGCTTGGAGCTGCACGCGGGCAGACGAGCCTTCAGATCAGGGCAGTGGGTGTAAGCAACAGCCCCAGTACTGCACACCAGGGGGCGCTGTTTCCCTTCCACCTTCCCACCCGGCATGCACGGGGGACGGAATCCTAGAAAATGTGGTCCAGCTCAGAGACACAGCGGACACAGTCCAAAGCCACCGGCGCCGCTGGACGGCTGTGCCCCAGGCGCTGCCCCCATTACTCACCTCCTCACCTCACACGTTTCGCACGGAACCTCCTCTGGCGGCCTCCAGTCAGTAGAGAGGAAAGACCAGGATGCCCTTGCAAGTGTGAGTTACCGGCAGGAACCCCCAGGGTGGCTGCTGACGGGTGAAGCAGAATTTCATGCACCCTGCTGCTGCTCCACTCTGTTCCGGAAACTTCTGGCTCTCGAATCACAGCACCGTCTTTTTCCTCGTCCAGCAGTGGACGTAATTTTTCTTTTGCCCTCCTCAATCTGTATAATTCTGTTTTGTTTGTTTGCTGAAGCCTCGGGGAAGGAAGACTCTGGGTCACACTTGATTATCTGTATCACTCAGGACATGGTCCTGCCTCGTTAATCACGTGAATGACGTCTGTGCGCTGGTCACTGTGCCCTTAGCTCATCTCTCTTCGCTGCAGCACCAGCAAGGGTGCACTATCATTGTCTCCGTTTTACTGGTCAGGAAACTGAGGCTCAGAGAGACTCAGCAATCATCCCAGAGGGCATGGCTGGGAAAGCTGGTCCAGGACCAGAACTCGTGCTGTCCGACTCCGTGACTGTTCGGGGCGTCCTCTGAGCTGCGTGGCTGCCTGCACACAGGCCCGCCTCACCATGCCATCACTGTCCTGTCCAGAACCCCCTCGACGAGAGCCTCAGTGTCCTGGCCCCACAGAACATGCCCAAAAGGGGAGGGGAGGGGTCCCTCTCCCCTCACGGGGCTCTGCAGGCTCCCAGGCTCCCAGCACGTGACCTGACCGGAGTGTTTCTTTATTCCAGGACTTCCGAAAACCCTGAGGCACTGGCTGGGCGAATTTAACTGGTATAAACTGTGCAGGGTGACCCAGCAACAGTTAACCAGATGGCTGAGGCCCGCTGCCACCACCCAGCGTCCAGTTCTTGGCTCTCCCCAACAAAGACCGGCTCGCCATAGGAGCCCTGCAGTTTTGGTAGATCAAAAAAGGGTTGCCTCTTAACAATTTCACCTGATTCGAGCCAACGTGACTGAGCGCCTGTGCTAATGAGACACCAGCAAGGACAGTCAATGCAGCCCTGTTTGTTACAGCAAAGAAAGGGCGTGTCCCAAGGTCATAAATACCCATAAATAGCGTGGCCAGGGAACATTATGCTGCCATCAAAAAAGAGTACAGAAATCTGCAAAATACTAATGTGGAAAGATGTCCCGAAGTACACAACTAAGAGAATGAAAGCAAACTACAGAGTCTGTATAGCATATTTCCTTTTGTATTAACTTTACATTTTTTTTTCATTTTAGTGGGGAGGTAATTGGGTTTATTTATTTTGGGAGGAGGTACTGGGGATTGAACCCAGGACCCTATGCATGTTAAGCATGTGCCTTACCACTTGAGCTATGCCCTTCCCCCGATTTCCTTTTGTATTACAAGTACGAATGCGTCAAAAAAGTTTTTTAAATTTTCACCAAAAAAATAATAAAAATAAACTTGTGAGGGGGAGGGTTTAGCTCCGTGGTAGAGGGCATGCCTAGCATGCATGAGGTCCTGGGGTCAATCCCCAGCACCTCCATGAAAATAAGTAAATAAATAAACCTGGTTACCTCTCCCTGCTCCAAAGCAAAGCAAAGCAAAGCAAATTAACTTGTGAGCCATAAAAAAGCAGGAAAGCAGAAAGAATAAAAAAAATTAAAAATAAAAAACAAAAGGAAAACAGTAGGAAAGTATAAGTATAAATTTATAAATATAAAACGTGTGTATTTACATATTTACATACGCATCCCATGTAAATGTTATGTCTATATAGATACACACACACATACACATTCGCTCTGTTCTGCACAAAATCACTCCAGAAGGACACACGGGAAACGGGAGCCACGTAGTTGCTTCCAGGAGGGGGACTGGGTGGAGGGCACCTTTCACCTGCATTATTTTGTGTTGAGCCAAGATACCACCCAACTGGATACAAAAAGAAATTCAAACAAAGAATAGAGAGGAAGTCAGCCCCCCACCCCCCGAGGCCCCGCAGAAACACTCACCAGGGCGCGTAGGAGGCCGCGATGAAGAAGTAGATGACCATGCGGTCGGACATGTGCAAGCAGTGCTCCACGGTCCTGCGGCGAGAAGGCGGGTTACAGGGCTGCCCTGGACAAACGTGCTTCGGGGTGGCCCGGGCTCAGGACTGACGTGCCTCTATCCAGCCACGACCCCTCAGGCCTCAGCGTCCCCATCTGTGAGTGACCAGACCAGTGATTTTCCCACCAGGCTCCCCGTCACCCTAGGGGTTGAATGGAGACGCTGCAGGGGTCCCGCCGAGGACCCTCCTCCCCACCCCCGCCATCCTCCTCCCATGATGTGGTCAGAACAACTCTGCACTCTGTCCTATATACTGGGCTTCTGAAAAGATTTCAAATGATAAAGAATTCAGTGGCTTAAAAATAAGAGCAAAACACAGACTCACAGATATAGAGAACATAATAAACAAGACAATAAAAAGAAGGAAAAAAACAGATACAGAGAACAAACTAGTGGTTACCAGTGAGGAGGGGGTTCGGGGAGGGGCAAGATAGGGGTCGGGGAGTAAGAGGGACAAGCTATTATGTACAGAATAAATGAGCTACAAGGAGGCACTGCGCAACACAGGGAGCAGACCCAGCGTGGCGTCGTAACCATAAATGGATTATAACCTGTAAAAAAAGTCGTGACTCACTATGCTGTACACCTGTAACTGACGTAATACTGTACACCAACTATACTTCAATAAAAAATGAAAAAATAAACAGAAAATGCATATGCAATAGAAGCATAGCAAACAGAAGAAAACATGGAAAATTAAATGCTTATTTATTCTATTCACCTTTCATTAAAAAAAATAAGAGCAAAACCAACAAATCTTGGTGCTCCGTGAAGACCCTCTGGGAGCCAGCACTCAGGTTCAGGTCCGGGCTCCGGAGCCAGAAGACCTGGGTTCCAGTCCAGCCCTACCAGGTGGAGACCACGACCTTGAACAAGTCACCACCCTCCTGAGCCTCAGTTCCCTGGTCTGCGGAACAGGAGGGCACCAACAGCCCCGCACGCACGGCCGGGAGGACTCGGCGAGCCAGGCCTCAGCACAGCACACAGCGGCCAGTGCTCATCAGCATCGGCCTGCTGCTGCTACTACCTCACCTTGAAGGGCAAGTTACAGTCCTCGGGTTCTCAGTACGTCTGAGCAGGGCGGCAGCCAGCCGTCACAACAGCCCCGAGGGGCCCCACCTGCTGGAATTCACACCCCTGTGCGCCCCCCCCCCACCCAGCGAGGCGGGCAAGTGCATGGAACCAGCAGAAGGGGGCAGAGATGATGGCCTGTGGTTTCAGAGGCCAGAGCATAAACCATATGACAACCTCTGCCTTGTTCTCTGGGATCACAGGCTTTGGGGGGAATGAGCCATGTGGCCGTGGAGAGGTCCACACGAGGACTTTGCACCCCCTAAACCCCAGCACCCATTTGCCAGCCCTGTGAGGGAGCCGCCTCAGAAGTGGCTTCTCCAGCTCTGTCAAGCTTCAGGTGCCGGCGGCCCCAGCCAGCATCCTGACTGCATCAGGAGCCTTGGGCCAGAACCACACAGCTAAGCTCCTGAGGGAGACTGGGGCCCAGAGGCACACGGGGAGGAAGGCTGCAAAGAGAGGCGGAGGTTAGAGTGATGCAGCCACAAGCCAGGGAACCGTGGGAACTGCCAGAAACTGGAAGAGGCGGGAAAGAGCCTTCCCTAGGGGGGGGACACCCTGAGAGCCTCCCCTAGGGGCACGGCCCTGCTGACACCCTGACCCCGGACCTCTGCCCTCTGAAACTATGAGAGATTAAGTTCCTGTTGTTTCAAGCCACCCAGAGTGTGGTAATTCATCATGGCAGCCACAGGACACCCATTCAGCAGGTTCAAGCAGGGCCCACGGAGAGAAAAGAATGGGGACGGGAGGGGGTGGGACACAGCAGGGTCACGGGGCTTCTAGGGGCAAGAGGGGCCTTGGACGTGGGGACCAGTGGTCACTGAAGCTGCTGCAATGGACCAGGCTGTCCCCTGACTTTGCGCGGGGGCCCTGGAATCCAGGAATCGGCTCTGGCTTGGACACGACCAACTCCGTGACATGGAGCAAGTCCCACCACCATCCAAGTTCAGTGTCATCACCCACAAGTCAGGGATTCCACAAGCTGCCACGTGGACGAGCCGATGCAAGGTGCCGATGCGAGAAGCCCGTCACACAAGGAAGAAACATCCCAAGCGTCCACCAGCGGACAAATGGATAAAGCGCGGTCCCTCCCCACAACGAATACGGTTCAGCCTTGAAAAGGCAGGGAATTCTGACACCTGCTACAGCGTGGATGAACCCTGAGGACACTGTGCTCGCAAAAGGATAAATATTATACGAGTCCACTTACAGGGGGCACACAGAGCAGTCAAATTCACAGACACTGGGGAGTTAGCATTTCATGAGGACAGAGTTTCGGTCTGGGAAGGTGGAAATCTGTGGACGGACGGTGGTGATGGCTGCACAACAGTGTGAACGTACTTAATGCCACTGAACTGCACACTTAGAAATGGTGAAGATGGTAACTTTTGTGTCATGTGTATTTGCCACGATTTTTTTAAAATTAAGAACACAACAAATCAAAATTAAAATCCAGGATTCTAATGGCAGAATTACTGGACCGATCAGGAGTGACATCTGCAGAGCGCAAACACCCAGGGTGCCCAGAGGGGGAGATTAGTAGAATGGTTATGAGGGTCCCTGATAATGAGCCTGGGAGGGAGGGGCCTGCCCCTCGGCCACTCAGAGGTGAGCAAATGAGGATCACATGGGTGGTCCGCCCAGGTGGGACTCAACTCCGTCTGCCAGAAGCAAAGATGGCACAAGGGTCTTCCGTCCTGGGTCCCTCCTGGCTCAGCCAAGTGTGCCCAGAAGCATCCTGCCTCACCCTCGGCCCGCCGTGGGCTCCGGCCCCTGGTCACCCTGCCGGGCACGCGCCTCCTCCCTCGGGCTGGACGCAGGTACCTGAGGTGGCTCTTCTTCCAGGAGATGGTGTGGAACACGGTGGACACCACAAAGAGCCCACAGAGGCCGAGGCCATAGATCCAGGCAGAGATGGTCTCCCAGTCATCGTCCGACAGGAAGTAGAGGTTGGAGCTGCCAAGGATGCTGGGGATGATCCAGAGCTGGAAGAAGGGCAGAGGGGCTGCCAGACCCACCTCGGAGTGGGGTCTGGGTGCGTACTGTGCCCTGAGCAACCCGAGCCTCTTACCCAGACCTGCAGGTCTGACAGAACTTCCCAGATGGAGGGAAGGTTCCAGACCTGCCCTGTGTGACAGAACTTCCCAGATGGAGGGAAGTTTCCAGACCCGCCCTGTTCAGCAGAACTTCCCACGACAGCAGAAACATTCTAGACTTGCATTGTCCAATGTGGGAGCCACTAGGCACATGGAGTTACTGAGCACTTGAAATGTGACTTGTACCACAGAGGACCTGAAGTTTTCATTTTATTTCATTGTAATTGATTTCAATTTCAATTCCAACAGCTGCACGAGGCCTGTGGCTACCATACTGGACAGCATAGCTCTAGAGGATGCAGTGGGAAAATGGAAAACCAAATCTTCTGTCTTCAAGAAGCATCTCTGGAAATATACACAAAATGTTATGATAACTCACAGAGAAAAAAAATGTGACAATGAGTGTGTATATGTCCATGAATGACTGAAAAATTGTGCTGAACACTGGAATTTGACACAACATTGTAAAATGATTATAAATCAATAAAAAATGTTAAAAAAATAAAGAATCAAATTGGCCAGCACCTTGATCTTGGACTTCCAGCCTCCAAAACTGTGAGAAATAAATTTCATTTATATAAAAAAAAAAAGAAGCATCTCTGGCCACTGCCCCCACCCTCTGTGTCCGCTGATGCCCTGATAAAATCCCCAGGCAGGCCAGGCTGCCTCATGCCACTGCGTTGCTGCACATGTGGTTCTCTCTGAAGAATACGTCCCTCCCACCATGTCCACTTGAAAACCCCCCACCCTGCAAATCGTGGTTTATCCAGTGTTCCCTCTGAGAAATCTCAGAACTCTGCAAAGCACTGGGGGCAGGAGGCCCCTGGAAGGGTCTGCCCAATTCTGGGTGCTGGGAGCATGTTTCCTAGAGAGAGAGGCTCCAGCAGCTCCAGCCAACAGAACCGTAACGCAGGTGGCACAGGTGATGGTAAATTTCCTAGCAGTCACATTTGTAAAAAGAAAAATTAAATGGGTGACACTAATTTTTACAACATATTTTGTTTAGCCCAATAGATCCAAAATGTCATTTCAACTAGTAATTAATATACAAATTATTAAGGAGAGTTTTACATTCTTTTTTCACGCTAAGTCTTCAAAAGCTGGGGCGTATTTTACACTCGCAGCACACCTCAGTTCAGATGAGTCACATTTCAATCGCACGAGGCCAGTGGCTACCAAGCTGGACAATGTGAGTCTACATCTTAAAGCAAAAGAGAGGCACGCTCAGGGCCGCTGTCTTCCCTCGAGGTCCCACTCACTCCTCCTAGGGCCACGGAAGGCTTGAGGAACAGGCCACTTGGGACATCGCCGTGGAATGGAGACCCTGAATCTCTCCACGGGCAAAGAGGCTGCCCCCCCGACCCCCACCAGGAAGTGTCCCCCTCAGCTCTCAGCCCCTCCAGGCCGACTCACAGCATGGGTGGCGCAGTTGGCGGCATGTTCGTACTCCGTGGGCTGGTACCTCTTGTGGGCGGGGACTCGGTGGTTCATAAACCTGGAAGGAGACACAGTTCCTGGAAGCTTGGCCGGGAAGCCAGGAGCCGCGCTGGTCACAGAATTCCCAGGAGGCCTGAAGACCTCGGCCCCCTGCTGGTGACCGGGGGGGGGTCCTCTTTCCCTCGCCTCCCGTTTGCCGCCTCTGCTTCCCTCCCTCCCTCGCACCCTCTCTCTCTAGTACACTTCTCCTGGACTACCCGACACTTTGTGCCTAATCCCCAAAGTGCTTACAGAGCTTCGCTAAATACTGGGCTGCCTCTTCACTTCCTGTTGTCAATTTTCTTTACGCAAACTGACACACAGTATAGCTCCCAGGGAACAGCCCGGTGGGTCTTACACCGTGCACACCCAGGGGACCACCGTCCCGAGGGGCTGGAGCTCCATGGGCTTCTGGCCTCCAGAACCGCGCGAGACCAAATTTCTGTTGTTTCGGGGCACTAAGTGTGTGTTCATTGGTTACACTGCCCTGGACACACTAACACAGGTACACACAGTGTTAACTTCGATGGATTCTGCCCAAAAGCCCCCAAAAGAGGCTGTGCTAATTTACAGTCCCTCCAGCTGGTCAGGGGGGTGGGGGTCAGAGGTCCACTGTGAAGGGGCGCGGTGGACACCCTTCCCCCGGGGGGGAAACCGCCAAGTCCCCCCCACCTGCTGCGGGGCTGCCCTCTCTGTCCCTTTAACAAACACCAACAAGCCATCGGTGGTGCCAGCCACTGGGGTCCAAGGGTGATGTCACGGTTGCCATGGCGACCCAGGGTGGACGGTTATTTATTTATTTCTGGGCTCCACAAAACTCTCCTTGTCTCCCACCCGAGCTGCAGCTACTTTGAATAGGGCAAGGGGGGAGGCCGGGGGGACAGGGCCCGGGGCCAGGGGCAAACACCCAAGAAACAGAGTTCCCACAGCCCTCAAGAACCGAGAACTTTTTCTTTAACTCCTGTGGCCTCCTTTCTCTCTTCATGAACCTCTAGGCAGGCATTTGACGAGGACAATGAATTCGTTGTTTCCGTTTCAATTTGCCTTTCAATTTACACTCAGTAAACCTTCCCTTTTTCCACTACAGCTTTTTATGAGTCTTGGCAAATGGAGAGTTGGGTAACCACCACCACCAAAAGCAAGATCAAGAACAGGTCCATCACCCACCCCAAGCCCCGAAACGCACACCTGCCGCCTGTACCCAGTCCCTCCCGCAGCCCCGTGACCGCCGCTCTGTCCCCGTCCCTGCGGCTTTGCCTGTCCCGGAAGGTCACATACACGGGGCCACACTGCAGCCCTGCAGATCTTTTTATTTTAATATCTAAAGAGGATTGATTGTATAAAGTCAAGTGTATTCTTTGGGGGGTTAATTAGGTTTATTTATTTATTTGTTTAAAAGGAGGGACTGGGGATTGAACCCAGGACCTCGTGCATGCTAAGCACGCACCCTGCCCCTGAGCTGCACCCTCCCCACCTCAAAGTGTATCCTTAGGTGAAAAGAAACTGTGTTTTGAATGCCAAACAGGGATTCACTTATTTTCTACTGAAAACGTATCTAAGGCAAACCTGGTTTATATGAGAAGAAACTGAGTTCTCCTAACATTACCATTCTTGGCCATCATCTCAACCTTTCCAGCCTTTTTTTTTCCCCCTGGTCTTCTGAGTTTGGCTTTTTTCACTCAGCTTAATGCATGTGAGATCCATCCATGCTGCTGCCTGGACCGCGGTTCCTTCCTTCTCATTGGTGGGAACCAGTCCAGCGTACAAGACGTATAATGGTTTGTCTACCCACTCCCCAGGAGAGGCACAAGGGAATGATTTTTGACAGCTGAAATGCAGAGATGAAATTTAGGATGTTCTGGACCAGAGCTGGCAGTCAGCTAGGCAGCTTGCAAGACAGTGGGAAATTTCTCTTAAAAGGGTCGGCATTTCTAGCAGGTTGCCTCTGGTTCAACTTACGGAGGGAAGTGGAGAACAGGAGAACAGAATCCCCATTCTGTGGCCAACCCTTGCCATCAGATGACCACGCTTAGTGGCCACGACACTGGGTGGGGGTGCGGTGGGCAACTCCACGTGGAGAGCTCCCAAACTGAGCTGGGAGGGAGATTAGGACAGAAAGTTGACTCCCACCCTGAACTGGAGGGGGCAGGGCTCGGGAGTCAGGCAGAGCGGGGTGGAAAATCCCTGCCTGGTCCCTTAGCTGCTGTGTGACACAGGGGAAATGCCTTAACGTCTCTGGGCTGCAGCTTCCTTGTGTGTAAAAGGAGACTGTAGCCGTAGCCTGCAGGCATCAGGAGACAGTACGGCTCAAGAGCCCGCGTGGGCACCTGGCACACGGCGGTGCTCAGAGAGTGTCCTCGCCTCTCCCTGGGAAGCTCCCCCGGGAGCCCAGGCACCGTTTTCTTACTGGTGTGCACTTTGCAGGGATGTTCAGATACTTCCCTTAACATCCCTGCAAAGTAGTTACGAATAATCCAATTTGAAGATGAGACTCACAAGAGGTCAGGCCGGTGTTTCTCAGTCTTGGCCACACATTAAGAACCACCCAGGAAATGGACGGATGGATGAATAAAGCGGCCCAACCACACAGCGGAATATTATTCAGACATAACGTCTGCCACCATCAGGATAAGCCTCAGACACACAACGCTCAGTGAAAGAAGCCAGATGCGGAAGGTCCCATGTTGTGTGGTCCCACTTATATGAAATGTCCAGAGCAGGCAAACTCATAGAGGCAGAGAGCAGATTAGGGGTCCCCAGGGGCTGGGGGTGGGGGGAGAAGCTGCTTAATGGGTACAGGGGTTCCTTTCAGGGTGGTGGCAACGTTTACTGAATACAGGTGGCGGTGGCACAACACTGTGTATGTACTAAATGCCGTTGGACGGTTCACTTTAAAATAGCTGGTTTTTGTCATGTCAGTTTCTTGGCAATTTCTAAGTGCCAAGGAAAAGGATCACCTGGGAAGCTTTTAAATCTGCCGATGCCCAGGCTACGCCCTCGACCAGACAGGCTGGACTCTCTGGGGCTGGGACCCAGGCATCGGGAATTCTAAAGTTCCCTGGTGAGAAGTTCTGAGTTAGATTCATTAAAAACCTGGCTTGTGACTAAAAGTCACAGAGAGCGGGACGAACACTAGTCACGGGAATTAACTCGAATGCTTAACAACAGAAGAATGGTAAACGCAGAAAAAGAGGCCAGAGGAAAGCAGGAGGGATGGACGGATTTGGGGGTGCTGGTCACGCATGTCTTCCCCTCCTCATTTTTTAAGTTCCAGGATTGGGTGGAAGATAATTTGACCTGTCGTGTTTGAATTTTTATAAGATGATATTCAGGTTTTACTTGTATAACTGAAAATCAGCCTTTAAACCTGTATAATGACGTGGGAAGTATGTGGCATAACGCATCTGGTCATCCTCTCCAAGAGGACTGGTTATGGATCTGGAAGCAAAGGAAGAGATGGGACAGAGCCCTTTCCCAGACCCTGAAACCAGCACTTCATTGGCCAGTGGTCAGAGCGGCCCCGGCCGCAAGTCATTCATGATCCCCAGTCCCCCTGGACCCTGGCTTTGTCGGTCCCTCCCACGTTGGAAAGTTCACACTAAGACTTTCAGGTCCCCGAGACTCCTAGGTCCCACCACCCAAGGCAACGCCCTGGAGGACTAAGAGCATTAATGCCTGTGCCAAGGCCAAGAACAAAAATGCCAGGCGGCCTCTGCGTGGGCTAGGAGACTCTGTGTTCCGGGGGATTTACTTCCTTTGTCTCACATCCCTGACTCAGTCCCTACAGTCTCCCCCCACCCCAGGAAAGCGCTCCCCATGGCCCACAGTCATCATGCCTCTGGACCTTCCACACGCTGTCCCTTCTGCTTAAAAGTCCCTTTCCCTCTTCTCCACCTGGTAAACTCCTATTCAGCCTTCAGAGCCCAGGTCAAATGGCCCCCTGGCACTGAAAAATCTTCCTCAATCCCCACCTTCATATGCCATCCAGACAGGGTTGTAAGTTGCTTTCTCTCACCTCTGGGCCACTGCTCAAGTTGCCTGCAGGAACCTCCTTCCCTCCTTTCTCTTCCTGGGGCACTCCTAGGCAGAGAGAGTGGCTCTTCCCTTTGGACTCCCACAGCTGCCTGTGCAACCTCTATCATAGCACAGATGATACATATTTGGGTGCTTCTGGGTCTGCCTTGGCCCGAAGACTGCAAACCTGGGGACTGGCCCTGATTCCTCTTCGTCTTCCTGGTATCAACACAGAGCCTGCACGCAACAGGTGATGCTTGGCAAATAACCAGTCATTTATTAAGTCATTCAGACTCCAGGTAGCAAGTCAGCAACAGTCTCAGTCTTTCAAAACCTTCAGAAACTTTGGAATAGACAGACTCCTGAGACATAGGTCTATGCAGCCAGTACCTCGGCTGCCCACGGTCACATGATTCCAGGGACAGGGCCAGTTTGCTGTTTTAGAAAAGTGGGAAGTGTGAAAGGAAACCCCCACGGAGAGCCCGGGGAGGAGGGAAATATTACTTCTTTTCTTTCTGTTTCTGTGCTGCCTGACTGGCTACCATATTCATTTACTGCTTCAATAATTTTGTTAAAATCTTCTAAAACAAAATGTTTCAAACATGTAAGTCTACATCGGAAATCAATCTCCCAGACCAGGCATTCGTCCTCCAACCTACAGCATTACAGCTGGGAGAGGGGAGGGGCTGGTCCCCAAGAGAGTTCTGGAAGCCACCCAACTGTCCATCCAGAGTATTATGGAAATGCACTGCGGAGGGTCCCCCACGGACCGAGGCAGCAGAGAGAACCAGTGAGCACACACTGCCTCAGAGACACGGGGCATCACGCTCATGGCGTCAAACAACAGGATACACTCTCCGATTCTACTTTTATAAACTTTGAGAATCAGCAACAGGAGTCGTTGAGGATAAAAGCTGGGACAGTGGTAACCTTTGGGAGCAGGGGCCAGTGACTAGGGGCCATGAGGGGTCTCTGGCGACTGGTGACATTGAGTGACTTGATCTGAGTGCTGATCCCGTAGGCGCGTTCAGATTTCCAGCCATAATGGCAAGACACACACTTTCCTGGACATCATTTATCAGTAAAAGTTTTAAAGATGGAGTGGCCCCAGGCTCCTACTGACCAGGTCTGGGAGGGGTCTGGAAAAGGTGTGCTTTCTAAACCATAGCCCTGGGGTCTCTCCAGGCAGTCCCAGGCAGGGCATAAGCTTGCCCTGTCCCCACCGCTGCCTCCCTTTGGGCCTGGGCTGAACGCATCCCAGGTGTTTGCCCTCCCCTCCAGCTCCCCAGCCTCAGAGCTTCTGCAGTTTCTCCCTGTCCTTCTGACCTGGGCCCTGCCAGGGTCTGTAGCCCCCAGAGAGAAGCAGGCCTCCTCTCCCAGATGAGCGCAGACCCAGGGAAACTGCAGAGGCCGCCCCTGCTGGGCTGGGCTTGTGCCTGGCGGTGGCAGCCCCAAATCCCCGGGGCAGAGGACTAAAGAGATTTGTCCAGGAGACAAAGGGGGGTCTGTCTGTCTGTCCCACAGGGGCAAGGGCAGCCCAGGCCAGAGCTGGCCCGGGGCCGTCAGAGTCTCTCCCTTTCTCCAGCTTGGCCCCGGGCGACTTCTTTGTGTCCATTCGTGAATTCACAGCTCCTCCCGGACAGCAGACAGCATTTTGGCTCAGTCTTTGGGAAACAGAGTAGGGGAGAAACAGTCCATGGGCCGGTGCCAGCTCGGAATTGTTGTGAGATCAAAATCCCAGTGGGGAGAGAGCCGGAACAGGAGGGGAAGGCGAGGAAGCTGGGAGGAGAGGGAGCAGGGGGAGAAGGGCTGAGGTCTCTAGCAGAGAACAAGTGGCATTCCACGTGAGTGGCGCCCCCCTCGGAGGTGTGATCCTAGTGGTGCTTGCCTGACACAGCTGGGGCCAGACCCCAGCCCTGCACCCCCTGCTCTGCTCCCTGGGGAATCTCCTCCCCTCTGGGATAATGAGGGTCCATGCTTCTGAAGCAGGGACCACCCCATCCTCCCTGCCTAACCGGAAGCTCCCAGAAGGTAACAGGTGATGAGATGCCACGGGAACCCAGACCTCCCGAACCAGAACCCGGGGGTGGGGCCCCCACCTCCGCAATCTTTGTAACCAGGGGCTGATGCCAGACCGAGTGGTCGCCCCGCTGCCTCAATGCTGTGGGTGCCCATCCCCCATCTCAGCATATCCAGACTCCGAGCCCGCAGCTCTGATCTGGGGGATTCGCGCTGCAACTGTAGGAGCCCAAGAGTCACTGCTCCGAGGAATCAGCCTCCATCAGTGACTCACAGGGCGCAGACGGACACCCCAGCTCCTCTGCCCTCAGTGGAGATAACTTCCGCCCCGTTGCACACTGTCTCCCAAGCACAATTAAGCTCTGGGCACCCACAGAGCAACCTGGCCCTTCACAGACCCTTTAGTGGCTGTGCGCCCTTCCTGTTCTCACTTCTGCTCTCTCCCGTTGCTGTATCTTGGGGGCTTCTCCCAAACACATCACTCGCCATTGCACCCTTGTTTCGGGGTCCGCTTCTGGGGAAACCCACACTGAGGCAGAATCTGGCAGCTAAGGATAGAGCCCCGCAGACGCCGGCCCCCAGCACGCCGGGCAAGCAGCAGCACTGCTCTGAATTATTCCAGTCCCAGCTGAGGATGCTGCCAACCCCAGCAGGCCGGGTGGCACCGCACTTCACAGTTTGCAAGCCTCACTCACACCCGCCCTGGCTTCTACCACCTCTGGAAGGGACAGGCCACCACCCTGTACGCCCTTGCTCTCTAAACCCAGGTCGCTGTGGGCTCCCTGCCCCTTCCCATCTCTGCGGTTTTCCCCTCCCTGAAGCCATGGTAGGATTCCGATCCTGAACATTTCCTCCTTCTCTCAGGGGCCACACCCAGAACACGCCGTCTAAGAGGTCCGTCCCAAACTGGAATCCACTGGGAGGAACTTTAAGAAAATCAGTAAATATGATCTCCCTCCACCCCCTCAACACCCCCACACCCCGGGTAACTTTAGCCCTTGGTTCTCCCTCCACAGGGAGTCAAAGCAGTTCTAACTCCAGAGATGAGGGGGGCACTTTCTACAGCCCATCTTCCTGCCAGAGAGCCAGGGCTCCCGGGAGCGGCCGATCCTTTCACAGCAAAGCGTTTTCTCTGTGCTCCTACTACTCCCTGGGAAAGGAGGGGCCGCCCCAGGGCCCGTGGAACATGGTAGAGGCCTTGGAATGTCCCATCCCCGCCAACACAGGGCCACATGCCCGACACAGCCCAGCCCTTCCCACGGCCAAGCGTCCAGGGTGCCAGCCTACGACAGGGTGGAGCCAGGGCAGTTCCGGAGCAGAGGGCTCTGGGATCCACCAAAGCGGGTTTCCAGCCCAGCTCCATCCCCGAGGACCAGGATTCAGGCATCAACTCCTGAGCAAGGCAGCTGCCTTCAGGGAGAAACAGATTTCCCCAGAGACCTACAGCTTTCTGCAGCAAAACGCACACACGTGCATACACACACGAACACACACACAAACCCGCCCCCACCGCCACGCACACACACTGTGCACACAACCCTAGGAGCTTCCCTGAGCCCAAAACACCATCCACACATCCTAATCATATCTCCACTATGAACAGGGAGCGAGCCATTCCTTCCTCTGAGGCTCTTCTTTGAAGGAAATGAACCTTGCTTTCGTCTCACGTCATCATGAAGACCCCTCCACCGTGGCAGACGAAGAGCAGACACGTGCGGGGGTAAGAGTCTCCTTCCTTAAGAGGCTCCTGAAAATCACAAAACTGCAACCGTGGTGCAATCATTGATTCAGACAAGGGCAACCCACGGACGCGGAGAAGGCTGGTGAGAGGTTGCTGAGCAGCGGGGCAGTCACATCCGGGGGGCCCAGCGTCACTTCGCAGGCCCGAGACCAACCTCGGCATCACCAGAACGGGACCGTCAGATGTTCCGTGCCGCCCGCGGGGGATGCAAGGCCGCGTGCCGTGCCTTTCTTGCCAAGGACGTCGACCCTGAAGGTAATCTGCCTCTACAGCTGTGCAGGCCACTCGGGCAGCCACAGGCCAGGGGTGGGTAAGTCAATGTAAACTCACCAAAACTAGACGAAGTGGACAGTTCAGCTGCTCCATCACACAAGCCGCACATCACATGCTCAGCAGCGCGAGGAGGTATTGCCCGCACTGCCAGGTGTGCGGGTCCGGTGGGTCCGGAAGCAGCCCTCACCCATTAGAGGCGTGGACTGAAGCAGCATCCCCAGGGGTTTGTCTTCAACTGCGTCCTCCCCCCCTGTGCACCTGCCAGCCTCCCTGAAGAACTCCCACTAATCTTTAAGGATCCACCCAAATGCCCCAATCTCTCTGCAGCTTCTCCTGTCCTACAGTGGGTACTTGTGGTTTCTGCTTGTCCACCTGTATCCCCTACTTAGTCAATGGCCCCGCTTTCGTTCTGGGCCACCCCTTCTCTGCTCTCACTCCATCGAGTTCAGGTGGAGCTGCATCCCATCCCTACCCCAAGCCACATCTGACTTCCAATTTCCAAGCTCCAAGAGAGGGGTTGTGATCTAAATCTCGCACAGTCTTTCCCCTGACCTCAGCAACAGGTCTGAGAATGAGCATGCAATCCAAGCCAGGACAAGGAGACTCAATTCCAGGGCTACGGTGATCCTGAAGGATCCTGCAGGAAACTCTCCATAAGGGCTGTGAGCAGTCCAGAGAACGGAGCCACCACAGGAAACGGAGCCTGGAGATGGAGAGAGACAGCGTGGTCTTCTTTGAGACCCTGGATCCAGCTGTACCTGAACCCACATACTTTTAATTTCTGAATACCAACATTTTTCTTTCTTTCCCCTTTCCCTTCCCCTGCTGATCCCTTCCCTTTCTC